AGAAGGAGCTAAACAACTGGGCAGCGAGTGCCACAGGCATGTTAGGACGTGCCTGCAGAAGCAGAAGAGCTGTGGCGGGATAGCAGCCTGGGAACTCAACTGCTTGACGAAGGGACTGAGACCCACATGAGGAAGGAAGAAGACGAGTGCTCATAGAATTTGAGCAGATGGAGGTTGATTACAGAGGCCTCCAAGTTCAGGCAATGCCAGTAGGTAAAAAAAAAAAAAGAAAATGATAATGAAAAAAGGAGACTATCCAAGAATTAACTGGGAAGATAGTGGAGGAGGAAGTGGCAGCATGAAAATCTTTGAGTCCCTGGAACAAAACAGCTCTAGTGCAAGCACCTCCTGCCCAGGTCATGATCATAGAAATCCCAGAACTGGTGATGATTACTAGTGTGTATAGAACTCCTGGAGCCAGGTTGACCACAACCAGGAAAATACTACAAGAATTACCAGAAACATACAGTGACACTCAGCACCAGGACCTGCCAAGAGCACCAACATCACAGGGGAGTAGAGAGATAATGAGCAGAAAGAAATGGCTGGAGGCCTGAGCCATCATTCCAGGGTTGGTTGTAGGCAAGGAGGAGAGAGGTATTTGGAGGAGGCGAGGAAACAGAGCAAGATGCTGACAGGGTGGAGGTGGGGAGCAGGGTCATGGGACCACAAGACGTGCGCCAAAGGGGAGGCAGGACCAACACCAAATCTGTTAACTGTCGAATGGGAAGTGTCTTTCATCTGCTCTTTTGGGTAAAACGTTTGCCTGTCAGATACTGTTATAAAGCTGAGCATCCTAATTAAGGCAGACTAAGAAGGACTGTCCATCTGCTTCCAAAATAATAAGCCTTTGAAAACCCACCCAGGTGATAGAGGATAAGCCCATAGCCTAGATGAGGAACAGAGCCCGGACAACTACTTCTCTAAGAGGGACAAGACAAGTTGCTGAACAGCTTAGCAGTGAGTGCAACAGGCAAGGCAGGTGGTGCCAGCAGGAGCAGGAGAGATGCAGCTGGACAGTGTGGGAGCACTTCAAAAGAGTGTACAACAGACCACACTTGTACTAGACTAGCAGATATAACACCCAAGGCTGAGCCCTCACATTCAGAAACAGAGGAGGAGGAACAACTGTAAACAGAGACCAATGATTGGGCATGGAATGTGAGAAGTATAAATGTAGGAAAACTGGACATAGTTAAGGAAGAAATAGGATGCATACATATTGACATGCTAAGCACTGTCATAATGAGATGGATTAGCATGGGATATTTTGAATCAGACAATCCTATGATCTACTATGCAGGAAATAAAAAGGTGAGGGGGAAAATGAGGTCCTATTTATAGTAAAAAAGACCATTTCTAGATTCATCTGAAATACAGTGTTATGAGCGACAGGTTAATATCCATATGGACATAGAGAAGACTTGTTAATACCACTATCATTCAAATATACACACCAACAACCAGAGTCAAAGAGGAGGAAATGGATGATTTCTATCAACTTTTCCAATCAGAAATCAATCGAACATGCCACCAAAATGCACTAGTAATAATGGATGACTGAAATGCAAATGTTGGGAACAGGGAAGAAGGATCAGTAGTTGGAAAACAATGGACTTGATGACAGAAACAAGGATACTGAACCTTCCTAAGGGTTGACTACCTCAGTTCTGTTGCACTCATGTGGACTTCGTGTGGCTCTCAACTTCTGGATAACAACAAGGTTATATCTAATAAGTGTCAATATGAAACAAAGCCAGTTCTACTGGATTCCTATCAAATCCTACAGAAATTCAGCCTTCTGGGTTCTAGTCTGCTACAAAAGATAGAGGATTTAAATGACCTTAATTGTAATTAACCTCCGTACTACAACATGTCCCATCCTTGGAGACAATTAATTCGACTCAGGCTTGATCTGTTGACATAGGGTCGCTATGAGTCTCAAGCAACATGACAGTAAATAACAACAACAATAACACACTTCAGAAAAGTTTCACATGAAACTCATTGACAATGAGTCAAAACTGACTCAGGCTGACCATCAAACTGGTTCCTGAGGCTGGTATATCACGTAGGAGAAGACCCCCGCATTTTTCTCCCATGGAACCACTGATGGCTTCAAAGTACCAGAGTACTTGCCACTTTTGGCTGAGCAGTGCCACTGTCTACAGGCCATGCCATCAGAGCTCCTTTCAGAAAATTTTAGGGAGCATTTTATCTACAGACACTAAATAAAGAACAAATATGGAACAAGACTGTCTGAAATATGGATGTTAAGAAATCAAAAGATGAGTTGTATTGAGAAAAAGATGTTGTCAAAGACCTCTCCAAAGTACTAAGGAGAAACAATGTCAGCTTAAAGACTAAGGTGCACCTGATTCAAGCTATCATCTTTTCAATTGCTATGCATCTGAAAATTAGACAATGAATAAAGATGACACAAGAATCAACTCCTTTAAGTTGTGGTGTTGGACAAAGTACTGAATATTCCATGAATGGTCAAAAGAACAAACAAATATGTCTTTGAGAAAGTGCAAGTAGAATGTTCCTTAGAGGCAAATATGGTAAAACTTCGTCTCACAGACATTGGGTATATTATTAGAAGGGGCCAGTTCTTGGAATAGGACATGATGATGGAAAAGGTAGAGGGTCAACAAATGAAAGGAATGCTCTTAACAAGCTAGACTGAGAAGTGACTGTAACAGTGGGCTTGAGCATGTCAGAGATGATGACAATGGAACAAGACAGGGCAAGGTGCGGATCCATTGTTCATATGATCACGATGAGTTGTAGTGGACTTAATGGCATCTAACCACAACAAACAAAAATAAACATGCAGCATCTACAAGCGCTGGAAATTTAAGGCTGTCATGAAGAACTAAAACTGCCCTTATCTAGTTAGAGAAATAAATAATCTCTGGGGTTTTCATTCAAGTGTACCAAAAAAGAAAAACAAAACAAAAAATTCATTTAGTACACAATTTCAGATCTGACCTTTGACAAATAGTACACCTTTCTGATCCTTTCCCCTTTGATATAATCACATAAAATGGGAGAGAGAAAAACTGTCCATCATCCCAGTACTGCACAATAAGAAGGCGTATTCCTCCATGGAACAGTGTGCTCCCCTTGAAAAAACCACACAAAAACAAACACACACACAAAAACCCCACCACCCTAACCAAAACTCACCAAGAAGTCAAATTCCAGCTAATGGTGGTTCCCACAGGAAAAATAACTTTCTTGTAAGGTTTCCAAGGCTGTACACCTTTACACTAGTGGACCGCTTCCCATGCAGAGGAACTAGTGTGTTCTGACCAAAAATAGTTACCCATGCACCTAAACACAATAACCACTGTATCACTCTGGCTCCAGTGAAAAACACAGTGACTTTTAAACAGTTTGTCAATGTCTTAGTAAAAACAAAATTTGCTAATACTGATTTAATACAAAATTAAATGACTTAAAACTTGATAAACAAATTAAAGAATGTTACCACAGAAGCTTTAAGACCAGGCCAATCACTTCTTTTGAGATGGAAAAAATTAAGGTCTATCAAGGTTAAATTATTTTCCAAGATGCTATTTAGTTAGCAGCAGGGCAAGGGCTTGAAACAATCTCATCATAGACATCTTCTCCCACTCAATATGTAAGCCTCTAACTGTAAAAGAATGACCTATTCTCAGTTCCTACTGTTCACCAGGCTGTTTCACTGTCAGGCACATACTGGGCACCAGAGTGGCAAGAAGGGAGCTAGTGCTGTGGACAGCAGCTAAATTTTCCCCTTAAAGCACATCAGATTCAGCTCCTGCCAAATCCCTCCCATCTTTTAGAGTGCCTAGGAGTTTACACAGTTCCACAATAAAGGACGCTGTTCTGTTCTGGGGATCTTAAAAAGCTTCAGGGGTGAAATGGTAAGAATGTTAAATTTGACATTACATATATTTCCCACAATAATAAAATAAATTTTTTTAAAAATTGCTATCTCTGTGAAAAAAATAATATTGAAGTCATCATTCTACATAGTGGCAGGTTTCAGTAACACCTAGACACTTCTCCATACCCACTGCAGATGCTCCAGACAAGACAGCTGAGTGTTCTCTGGGACAAGATCAGAAATGGACTCAGAAAGCGTACAGACCGAATGCCTGTGACTGCTTCCCCCTGTAGGCTGTACATCAAGGAAAGACAAATCGGCTTCAGCACAACGGGAATTCCTGGAGGCATTTATCTCGCTCTCACATTGATCAAAACGTACAGGCTGCCTAGCCGGAACCCAAAACTTCTTTTTTTCCCCCTACTCAATAGCATGAAGGATAATTGAGACCATCTATTTCACTGATCAAAAGACACAAGAAGGAGTCATGTCTTTACAAGATATGCTTTGAGGGTGGCCGTAGCTCAGGGAAATAAAAATAACAGAGGCTAAAGAGATGGCTGGCAGAAAGGAGAAGGTAGAGACACCCTTATGTTCTTCTGAATTGAAGAATACAGGGGTTAAACTGTACAGTTTTGGTCACTCACTTAACCTCTCTGGAAACTGACAGAAGTAATCTCTCATTGCCAAGTTCTAATGCATTTCATGTTCATGTTCACCCTCAGGACACCAGGTTTACCAAGGACCGAGAAAGTGCTGACAGTGAGGCAGAAATCACAAATGCACAGCAGAGCCTCTGACTGCCATGCAGCTTAGAAAGCATGCCACACTAAATGAATTTCCACAAAAGGCAGCAGGTAAAAGGATCCTGACATGAAAATTGAAGGTGATCAATGTCCCTAAGAACGTTTGTTATAGAATTTACTTTTATGTATAAAAAAATATAAAGGTGACCCCTAAGGGTCTTCGTATCTATGATCTGGCAGGTCTCATTATGAGTACTGCAGCAATCAATACTTATCCTAAAGGATACTGGGGTGGGGGGGAGTAACAATTATATTCAAATATTAAGGCAACCCAGAAAAGAAAATTTGAGAAGGCTTTAGTCTATGTTATTCGGAAATTAATCCTTGAAGACAAGTGCCCAAAACTCCTGAGTTGAGAAGTTCTGATTCCTATCAACAAGCCACCTTAGTGCCTGAGCTTCTTTCTTGGACTGCTGGAAACTTGGTATCCACATCTCTCGCAAAGACCTCCAACGTGGAGCCGGAGGTGAAAAAGCAAACACAGTGGGCTCCGGGCAACTCAGGTGGGTAACTTCCGCCTTCCACTTTTTAGGTGGTAAGCCCTGCATTGAGAGAAGGAAAATAAGAATTAAGAACAAACAAAAAGAAGCAAAATTCCAGTGTCTCCACCTCATAACAGAACCCAGCACATACCTTTCCTATCACAAATATCTTCACTCCACACACAGTCTCTTGTTATAATGTTGGATACTGCTTGGAGGATAAGGTATGTACATTTATTCTGAACATTATATCGAGTAGTCACTCTAAAAGATACATTATATACTTTGTCCCATTTAATTCTTACAGCAAGCAGTGACATAGTTACTGCAGCAATGAACTTGAGTGTCTGATATTGTTAGGACCAGATCTGTTAAGACAAGATGGCTATGAGTTGTACTCAGGTAGATGGCACCTGACACCAACACAACATGCAATCCTCTTAATTTCTTTAGTACAGTGCTTTGTATTAAAAAATATTTTTGCAAAATAAGTTTTTCTTTTCTGTACACATATTTTAATTTATTTATATGTTATTATTGATGGCATTCTGGCAGATTAGTGGTAAGGAGCTGTGCTGCCAAACCAAAGGTGTATGGTTCGAATTCATCAGTGTCTCTGTGGGAAGAAGATGGACAATCTCTTCTCACATGATTTACAGTCTCTGAAAACCTGCTGGTGGGTCAGTGATGAGTCAGTTCCAAGTCAACAGCCCTTAACATAGATAGCTATGTCTCACTGTATATCAATGTTGTCATATCGACATCTAATTTCTTGATATAAATTTAATCCCACTATGCTCAACTTTGCTCTACACTATGATGTTTACCATAAATAATACCTGCCATTTGAGTAAGACCCCACAGCTTTCACAATGATTTCACATGGAGCTCTACTCCTCCTAGCCTGAACCAAGTTCTATCTCAGCTTATTTCAACATTCTCCTAATTAGCTTCCTGGCTTCTGCCCTAGGTCTACTTCAGGCTATGCTCAGAAACCAGAGCGGCTCTACTAAAAGGTAGATGGTCTCTTATTTTGAAAACATGAGAGCTGAGATGTTGTACTGAAAATGGCAGAATTCAGTGAGCATAAAGGAGCTTTGGTGGCAAGTGGTACAAAGCTGCGCTGCAATCCCAAAAGCTTGCAGTTCAAATCTACCAGCTGCTCAGTGGAAAAAGGATGGCAAATCTCCTTCCATAAAATTTACTGCCTCTGCAAACCTACTAGAGGCTCAGCTATGGGTCAGTTTTGACTCAATGACATACAAAAACAATAACATATGAATAACAAGTATTGAAAGATCTTCTCCCACCAGTAAAAAAAAAAAAGACTATCCCCACCCTGGCAAGAGGAAGCAAGAGACCAGGCCTTTTTGCTCCAGCTACATCTACAGAAGCAATAGCCATGGCTATTACATTATTATTATTATTATCATTATTATTATTATTATTATAGTTCCTGATGTGAGATGAGATGTTGGGACTGCCACATCATTGGAACCAGGACTAAGAGCCTTTGCCCAAGTTTGTTGCACAGCTGGGGATGGAAAGTCAGGATTGGCTGACCAGTCAAGGGCTGAGAATGTTTCAATACTGGCCTTTAGCCGCAAGGCTCAAGATTGACGTGCCTGTATACACATTTCAGTAGCTGTCTTGATTGTATACTGCTACTAATCCAGATTATAAACTTCTTATTTTCCCCTCTCCAAAAAAAAAAGATATTGAGATCATTTGCCTCCCCATACAACTCACCCCAACAAATGCACAAGAAAAGGATCCTTCTCTGAGAATTTACTATGTCCAGGAAGACATAGCTCAGATATCCCCTAAGGAAATCTTGACAAACTGTTCTACTTGAGCAAAGATATCATTTTGAAGAGTAAGGTGCCTCTAACCCAAGTCATGATATTTTCAATCTCTCTCTCTCTCTCTCTCTCTCTCTCTCTCTCTCTCTCTATATATATATATATATATATATATATGTGTGTGTGTGTGTGTGTGTGTGTATGTGTGTGTGTGTGTGTATATATGTTTGTGTGTATGTATATATATGTGTGTATGTGTGTATATATATATATATATAAAAGTTGAAGAATGAAAGAAGGAAAACTGAAGAATTTATTTATGCCTTGGAATTATGGTAGTGGTGAATAATGTTTAATATACCATAGAATGAATAAAGAATAAATTTACACTAGAAGATATAGAGCCAGAATGTTCCAGAGATGTGAAAATTATGAGACACATGCCTGAACATGTTATCAGTAAGGACTAGTGTCAAGAAAAAGACATCAGGCTTGACAAAGGCAAGGTCAACAAAAAGAGAGGAGCCTCCCCAGGGGACAGACTGACAGAGCAGCTGCAACAATGGGCTTCGGCCCAGGAGATCGTACAGGTGGTACAGGATTGGGCAGCGAACCAAGTGAATCTTAGTGTACCTACTGGGACTCTCTTGTGCTTAATCTTTGCAACTTGTAAACCTAAAAAGATTTAAAAATGAAAAAGTTTGTTAAAAGGCAGTAGTGAAATGCTTTAAAAATTCTGACTAAAATTGTTACTCCTTCTCAGCTAACCAACCTACTGTTGAAATGTCAAGAGTCATGATGACATTTTCAGGCTATTTTCAATGAGTCCCTTCTTAGATACTGCCATGAAGAGAAAGGTGACATACAATAAGGGGATGATCAGTACAGTATCACTAAAGAAAGGGAAGACACAGAAAGGTACAGAAGGATTAATGGAAATCAGGATGATAAGGAGAGCATGGGAAAAGTGGGATCACACTGTAAGTAATTAATGTCATAAGTAAAATGTGTACAAATGGTTGAATAAAAATTTAATTTGCTTTAAATATGTTCACTCAAATCACAATAACAACAACAAAATAGTAAAAAAGCTATCACAACATAGGAGCACAAGAAACTATGAATAAAGGAGACAAAGAATAAAATAAACAGAGACTCCAACACAAGAGTTAGAAAAAAGAAAGGTAAATTCCCAGGGAGGTCTTCGGTTGGTGGTCTTTGCTTGAATAGAGGACTTTGTACCAACTGTAGCAGGTCAGAATGCTCTGGACTACTTCATGAAGATGAAATGAGTAAGATGCCTAGTCTAAGCATATTTTAGTAAGATTTAAGTAATCAACAAAGAATGAATTATAGATAAGCATACAGAAAAAAAATTAAGAAGACAATTATAACATCAGAAAAGCAAAATGCTATAAAGACGACTGATCTCTACTTAACTGGCACCAAAGAGAAAAAAGGAAACAAAAGACTCAACAAAGAAACAACTTGACAGGGTGATCTCTGGTTTGACAGGTTTATAATGACTAGACTCTTCTTTGAGCTGTGGTGCT